TATATATGTTTATTTATTTATTTATTTATTTATAGGCGTTCAGTAACTGCCTCTGTTCTCTTACTCAAGTCATTAGGTGAAGTATCACTGCGTTTCGTTTAGAACGGAGTTTTTTTAAAGGTTTTTATGTGTTTTGTTTTTAGAAAATGGCTGAGTTCACACCTAAATTTGAACGCGATTTGGACAGCCGCAGCATGGGACCAAAGGCGCTGCCTACTGCCGGTGCCATTGCTGTACGGAATGAAAAGGGCGAAATAACCATGCAAAAAGTCAAGGTTGTGCGTTATATGGCTGGAAAAGTGTTCGTTTTTTGTGGAATCTATACTTTTATGTTTTTAAATGGTAGTAGAGCGAAGTTTTTTAGACTTGCTGTAAAAAGTATCGTTTGAGTTGTTTTTCCATCGCTAAAGTTTTTTTATAATTGTTTCAAAAAACTATGAGTGACAAATGAATTTCTTGACCTAGAAGGCAAATCTGTTTAAATGCTTCTTTACTTATTGAAAAATATGGGTATCCAGCGGCTAAGTCAATGAAAGAAAGAATTACTGCTATTTCAACATTTCAAATTCTTATTAAACTTGTTTTTCCTTCTAAATTTCAGGCCTGCTTACGCGCAGGGTTACGACTCTTCTGGCGTTGAAGATGAGGGTGATGACGATGAATCAGGATATGACAAAAAGTATCTTTTTATTTAATCGTTTTATATCGTAGATACATATTTTTTTAATAACCAGTGTTGTTTGAAATTGACTTTGATGATATGAGTCGAAAGCAGTCATACTGAGAAATGCTGTGAAATAACGTTCAATGAATTTAAGGGAGAAAATCAGCATTGTTATTTGGTAGCACAGTGTCATTTTTTCTTCTCACTCTTCCTATTTATTTTTGCCCAGCAATGTTTCTTTCTTTTTTGAAGAGCTGATAGCTCGGGATATGTAAAACAAGAACCGGATCTTGTGAGTACCAAGGATGAGGAGGACATTGTGCACGAAGAGGAAAATGAGGAAGAAGCGGAAAGGAGGCGTATGCGAGCCAGGTTGCGTAGAATGGAGATTGAGATGAATGAAACTCAGGGTGAAGAGGACGAAGCTGATGAGGATGACGAGGTATTGTTTTTACTTTAGCTGGTGGTTCAAATTCTTTCTGCATTCCTGAACCTGAGTTCATTATTGGGTTAAAAGAAGTGTTAGTGGCGCAGTTAAGCTTAAAATAGACAGAAATTTGGTTAGGCATGGCTTTTGCAAGTTAAATTGCCACTGTTGGAGCTAGCAGGCTTTTGTTATGGAGAAAGGAGTTCGGGAATACTAGGGACGCGAAAACTGGAATTGTCAGGGTGGATGAAGTCTTGGGAACATTTTATTCTGCTTGTCTGTCATGAGTACTCTTATAAAATGGTTATCTATGTCACCTTGGAAAACTTAATTTAGTAGTCGGAAAGTCTAGAATGAGGTATTTTGCACCGTCTATATTGCTTCTTCGCTTTTCTTTCACAGAATTCCGGTCTTTCAAGTATCTATAGTTTTTTTTGAGCAAGAAAATTTTTTATTTTCAACTGCAGCAAAATTCTTTGTATTGTATTGAGTTCTTTTTTTTTTAATGTATAATTTATTCTCTTTTTTGACGGAAATATATTATTTTAGCAGTAGGCATTTTAACTAATAAATTTGTTTTAAGCGAAGATTTTTGCCTTTGAAACGCGATTATGTTGTTGACATGTAATTTTTCCTAAAAAGAGAGTAGCGTTTATATGTTCCTGTTGTCACATTTGGATTTCGAGATTCTAGTTTTTACGTCTGTTTCACTGTAGGTAAATGTTTATTAAATTTTTTGTTATAGGAGGAATTTGAAAGGCGTCGTGCACTTTTGCGTCAAAAACTTGTTAAAAAGGAGGAAGAAGAAGCTCTTGTAAAGCAGGAAGAGGAGGAAGAAGAGAGTGATGAGGAGACGAGTGAGGAAGAAAGTGAAGATAGTGAGGAAGACACAGTTTTAAGGCTAAAGCCAATTTTTGTTGAGAAGTTTGTTACCCTTTTTTGGTGGAAATATTTTGTCGTTACAACTAA